TTTCAATTTACGGTTAGTTCCTCCGTATGAATCAAATCGTTAAATGAACGTATGCCCCACAAATTTGATCGAAATCTTGTGCCAGTAGCCGCAGTGCTGTGGTTAACCGTGGATCCTAAATAATTATTTTTGGATCCTAGAGATAGTGGTAGTATTTGTAATATGATGGCTCTTTACTGAGTCCAACGTACCGGACTCTATTCAGGAGAGAGACAACAACAATGCGTCTGACTTCTACGAAAGTTTATTGTGAAGTGATAGGCTTGTATATACATGTACATTAAAAAGTATGAGGAACACCTGTTTACTTTAACAATGGCTGAGAACTGTCATCAAGTGTAATCTGTAGGTGACCAAGGGTCATTCAAAGAATGCCACTAATGGAAGTTTGTGGGCTTTGATGACATTTACCAAAAACAAGAAGATAATGTTACATCTCCCTTTCTTCAATCAAATGTCATGGGTGTTAACAGTCATAGTCTTTGTGATTATCCCTGCACTGGCAATATGTGCATGTTAATCCTGCCTGTCAGATATGTGTATCCAATAGTGAACATATATTGTCATTGAAAAATTCTTGATATATTTAAGTTCATATCCTTTTGTCCAAGGGTAATTTCCTCTAAAGTCTTCTATATCACTTTGCAAAAATTACATAGATTCTATAATTTTTTGTTTGCAAACTCTGCCAGCTCGTGTTACATAGGGCTGGGGCAAANCCAAAATGATATATGATATATGAGTCATCGTTACGAGATTGAGTTTGGAAAATGGTTCCAAAAACATTTTCTTTATCTTGCAGTCCCAACCTTACAGCTTGAAGCAATATCACTTTTAGTGAAATTTCTCCCTAGCAATTTCACCGATCGGTAAACATTTGCAGACAAATCTTTTCGCTTTAAATCATTGTGTAACTATGTTATTTCTTTTTGTGCACGAGCGAAAATCTACACACCAGCTAGCTAGGGCAGCTACGTTAGGTTATCTTGAATACCTGTCTGGATGACAATTAAACATACCGGTATCTGAGAAAACATTTCCCAGTGGCACTATTCCCATCAGCTGATAAACGCTACCGGCATTACATATCACTAGAGGCATACCTATAGGCTACAATTATTTACATTAGCAACTGAGAAATTAGGTAAATTCTGCTCAACTATATTTATTTTTTTGCATACCTTAGTGAGAAAGTACTGATGTGGTTGCCAATGCATATGATGTTTTTTAACTTACCTTCTTGCAGAAAAAGTCAGGATCGTTGCAATTAAGTGACTGCTGTCAGCAATTTTCGATTTGGGGAATCCCCCGCCTCTTTTTCGCATATTATGACGCCATTCAGGTGTTTTCACAATCGGCAATCCTCGGCTCATTCCGCAAGCTCCATACTAATTATCCTTTGATCTTGCTTCGCGTTTCATGTCCCTTTCCTATTATGTCCAAGCCGTGCAATATACCGTAATGGCTCAATCATATCAACGGGGAAAATAGTAGATTTTATAGATACCAGGGGCGGATCCAGGATTATTTGAAGGGGGGGGGGGGGGGGGGGGAAAAGAGGGGAAGCCGGCCAACCCCCCCCTGGGGGGGGGGTTGGGGGGGCGTCCCGATAGCCCGAAGGTTATTGGGCCCAAGGGTTCTTTGCCCCGAAAAGGGGAAAATTTTTTATAGTTTTTTTAATAAAGGGTTCTTTGGGCCGAAGGTTCTAAGGAAAATTTGGGACAAAT